TCCGCAGGCGCTCAGGACTCGCTCTCCACAGAGAAGGGCCAGGTGTGCCTTCAGGCCCTGGGCCGGCGTGGAGGTGGGGAAGGCCGGGCAGGCCTGGTCCTGCCCGGGGAAAGGTGGCCACAGGAGAGGTCATGACCCCACATGACCCACAGTCCACTTGTTTTGGGCACCTGGAACGTGAGGTCAGCATCGGATCACTAAAAGCGCTTCATCAGCCTCCGCGGATGGCACCTTCCAGGCTCTCTCACTCCAAGAGGAATGAGCCCTCCGGCCCTCCTGGCGGGCTCACCCCGGATTTGTCTGGGGTTTTTCCCTCTTGTCAGCACTTTTACTCTTCTGACTTGTATAGCAAGGGGGAAATGCAATCGTTCTGATACGCGTGCTTTAAAAACAAGAATCCGAGACGTCTGACAAGGGCCGGGTAAGGCCGCCTTACGCAGGTTTGCCGCGGGGGGTGAGCTGGGGACACGGCCCCGGGCGCCTGCGCCCCAGTACCGCTGCGCGTGGCGGGGCCCGGGCCTGGCAGCCCAGGAGGCGTCGACGAGGCCCCCGCCGCTCACGCCACCGGTCCCACCATCAACGCCCTCCCTCCCAGCCAGGCTCTGCGTGGCCTCCCTCCACCAGGCCCCGCCAAGACCATCTCTCTCCTCTCCTAAAAAGTTCCCATTTTATTATTGAGCAATCGTATTCCAATTAAATTTATAAGAACATAAATAGTCACTGCATGCTTCAACGTGCAGGCTACGTGTAGAAAGTCGCAGAGCTCTCCTCCTCTGCCCACAACGGCTGCCTGTCGGGGAAGCCAAGAAACGGCGGGAGAAGGAATATCTGCCCTGATTCCCAAGCCATCGGACCGCGTGCCAAAGGTGCCCATTAATTACCAACGAGCAATATAAATACTAAGAGTTCAGAGAAAGGACAGGTACCACAGTCCACACGAATATGCCAAGGACTCAGGGAAAATGCTGGAATATAAACCAGGTCGCCGCCCATGGGAAACAGTGGGCAGAGCAGGGGGTGGCGGCGGCGGGCAGCGAGGAGTCCACCTTGGTGCCAGGGCTGCCACTCCACCAGGCCCAGGGACCGGCTCCGGCTTCCCGCTGCCAGCTCTGATCTCCACGGAGACCTCGCAGGGGTCTTGGCTGAAAACCCCTCGGGGGAACATCTGGGAAACAAGAATTGGAGGTCCAAGACCAACACCATCCACGTCCAGGCTGCACGTGACATTTATGATGCTGCCAAATTAAAGGGTGGATTTAATTTGTTCCCTTGATCCACAGATTTGTTGAACAAAATTGTGCAATGCACTAATCCAATTGGCTCCAATCTGGCCAGCTGTGAAGGAGACAATTGAGCGTGTTGGAGATGGAGCCACAGAAGACGCCTTCCGGAGGCCGGGCTGTGACACTTCCCTGGGGAAATGCGCCCCTGCCTGAGGGCAGGGGGACAGAGAACACAAGAGCCTGGTTTGCACGCACGGATGGACGGATGGACGGACGCAGGGCAGCCTTCCCAGGAGGGGGCTGCACCTCCGTCGCCTGTTCGGGTCCCTTTGGCTCCAGCCTCGGGGCCCTGCCTCCGCCCCTGTCTCAGGCAGCACTTCACCCCCGTGAGCAGCAGTCCTGAACGCAGTGCTAGAAAACCAGCTGGTGCAGTGCCGGGTCCAGGTGCGCTTGCCACCGGGGCGCTGGACACGGCGGCTCTCCTCTGGTCATCCCCGTGCTGGGCACGTTGTCCCCAACCCTGAGAACTTCCCTTGCACGGTGGCAATATGACTGGGGAGCCGCGGGACTGCCACCACCGCCAGGCCTCTGCCCTTCCTGCGCTGGGCCCCCCGCCCGGGCGGCAGCCCCGTCTGAGCACGGGCGGCACGGAGGTGCAGCCCTGCCTGAGGGGTCAGCGCCTTGCCAGCACCGGGGACCATGGTCTCCTCCCACGATGCGGCGCTGAGGGTCCAGCCCCGGGCCGCCCTTGCTGTCGGGAGGTCTTAGCGCAGGGCCTTTGCACTCGCTGGCGGCAGCCCACAGGGCTTGCCACGCCTCCTGAGGTCACACCGAGTCCCGGTGTGGCCGGTCTCAGCCTTGTAAGCGTGCTCACTGATGTGTGCACAACCATGAAAGCAACAGCCCACTCTCTCCACGTACCTCCCCGGCGAAGCCACGTGGGGATAAAATACCGGTGACCACCGTTTCTTCCATTTTCACCGTGTTCTGGGGGGGCCGAAAGTGCTTCCCGGTTTCTCCAAACGAGGCGCCAGCTTCCCAGCGCCTCGCGCGGGGGCCTCCGGCAGTGCACGCCCCCTCCGAGGCCCGGCCAGGCACCGTCAGCGGCGGCGGCGGCGGAAGCCCTGGTCCTGGCCTGGCTCCGGACGCAGGTGACTCACAGGCCACTGTCTCCTTGTGAGCTCGAGCTACTCACCACAAATAGGGTCTACCCGGGTCTCCTGAGAGGACTCAGTCATAAAGTCAACTTTCATTTCACGATTACTATGCTCCAGAGGCCGTTCCCCATGCTTTGTAGACATTACCCTGCCCCCTTCCCCAAGCTGCAGGGGCAGTGCCAAGCTGGGCGCCATTCTCACCGCCACGCCAGCGCCCCACGACACACACAGCACCGCAGGCCTGTCAGTCCTCACGGCTGCGTGAGCCCTCCGGAGCACGGTGCCAGAGCTCCCCGGGGTCACGCCGTAGGAGGTGGGCTGTGTGCACACCCCGGACCACGTGCTGGGACCCACCCCGCACTCGGTCCCGAGCAAATGAAGTCTTGAGCACACAGAGCTGTGCATGTGCCACAGGCTGCACCGTGTCTCCACCCTCCTCCTCCTCAGAGCCACGAGAGACGCAGCAAGTCGGACGTCCCTGGCCTGAGCACACACTTCCTCCACGAGGCTCCCGCAGACCCAGCCGGCCTCTCCCCTCTGTGCTGCCCAGGAGCCCAGGAAGCAGTCGGCGGAAAGAGAGACCGCGGCTCCAGCATGCATTCCAGCCAGGACGGCTGCTCACACGCACACAGGCACGCATCCACAGACACTGCCCTGGCCACAGGCCACGCTGGACAGGAGAGGTGCTCTGGACAGCAGCGTCCACCTCTCTCCCTGCAGAGCCCACGGTGCACGGAG